TCTGGCCTAGGTGCCAAAGGCTTCTGGGAAGGGAGTACAGGGTGACGTCTTGCTCTGCCTTCCAGACTGGCCAAGTCCACACTGACACTCATCCCCCTGCTGGGGACCCACGAGGTCATCTTTGCCTTCGTGATGGACGAGCACGCCCGGGGGACGCTGCGCTTCATCAAGCTCTTCACGGAACTCTCCTTCACCTCCTTCCAGGTGACCTCGCGGCGGGGCGCTTGGGAAACCCCGGGGGCTGGGTGGGCCGCAGGGCAGCCTGCGGCTGGCAGGCACCTGGCCCAGGTCACATGGTCGGAGCAGAACCAGAACTAGTGTCACCAGGTGCCCCACTCCCAGGCCAGCCTTCTCTGTACAGTACATCAGCCAAGAAGTATGTGAGCAGCCAGCCTGCTGCTGGCTACTGAGCCACTCAGGGTGGGGGTGGGGCAGGTGTGCACCCACCGTGTGTCTTACCCACATTCGGTCCTCATAGAGCCCCAGGAGGTGGCGGGGTTATTCCCACAGATGAAGAAATCAAGGCTCCAATACTTGCAGGAGCCCCTAGTGCCAAGGCTGGACCTCCTCCACAGTGGAGACCATGTGGAGGGAGTGCCAGAGCCAATCAGGGTAGAAACCAATTGAGAAATTGATCCCAGCCCCTCCAGTGGGGTGATGGGTCCTTGCCTGTGTGCACATGGGCACCAACACACCAAGAAATAAAAACAAATACAATTCCAGAGGATTGGGTCTACCAAGGAGATAACTGGGGCTGTGGGGGCCAGGGAAAGTCCCTCAAAGCCAGAGGCTGGTGGTCTTCATCCCATCAGACCTCCACATGCACGGGTTTCACAAGGTCTGAGCAGGGGGCCCTCTGCTTCCTTCCGGAAGGAAATGAGAAGCAGCTCCCCCACCACCACCATCCTCCGGTCCAATATGAGGAGCGAGGGGTGTTGGGGCTGGAGCCCTAAAAGCTTCAGAGCAGGGTCTGCCTGCAGGGCTCCCCTCTGCTGACTTGCCTCCTCTGCTTCCAGGGGCTGATGGTGGCCATCCTGTACTGCTTTGTCAACAACGAGGTAAGGCTGGAGGAGGGCTACTTGCTGCGGCCATTGGCGGCGCTGGACCTGAGTGAGGAGGGCTCCCAGCAGTCTGGACAGCCGAACGCCCATCCCTCACTCCACGGTGCACTCCAATCTGAGCTTGTATCTTGTCCATGTATATAAGGGGGCTTCCAAAAAAGACTTACAAAGGTAAAGCTGCTACCTTTTGATTCCACGGTCCATGAGCTTTTGGAAGCCCCCTTCAGATTCTGTTTCCTATGCACGGACTTCGTAGACGAAGCTTCCGTGGACTTAAATGGATAAACTGCTTACTTGAAAGTGTTTAAGAGCAAGGAGTTCTGGGATGGAGCGAATGCGCACTCAACTGCTAACCCCAAAAGTCGGCTGTTCACACCCACCAGCCTCTGCAGGAGCAAGAGGAGACAGTCTGAGTCCATCGAGACTGGGAGACCAGAGGGGCAGTTCTAATTTGCCCTGTAGGGTGGCTATGAGTTGGAACTTGTTGGCCGTGTTTTGCTTTGCTTTGCTTTGCTTTCTAATAGCAGTTATGAGAAGTCCTAGGGGCGTGGTGGTTGAGCACTGGGTTGCCAACTGAAAGGTCAACAGTTCAAATGCACCTGTGATTCAGAGAGAGAGAGAAGGCCCGGTGTTCCACTCCTGCAGATTTTGGCTGATGAAACCCTATTGGGAAGTTCTACTCTCTTATAGGGTCACCCCCACCAGCAGAACTCCCGGGGAGTGGAGTCCAAATCATAGTGACCCTATAGGACAGAGTGGCAGTGTTCCATAGGGTTTCCTAGGCTGTAGATCTTAACACAAAGCAGAGTGCCCCGTATTTCTTCCGAGACACAGCTGGTGGGTTTGAACCGTTCACTTGTTGGGTAGTGGCCCAAGGCTTAACCCACTGTGCCACCAGAGCTCCTTGGACATGGTCACTGTGTGTTGGGATTGAGTCCAGGGCACACAGCACCAACAATTCAGAACTGGATGGGGTGAGCCAGTGAGTGGAGGGGCTGCTGGCGACTGGGGAGGCGGAGGCAACACCAGGCAAAGGGCGGTCCATAATGACTTCCCCCTGGGCAGGTCTCAGAGTCCCCGCCAGGCTCAGCGTGGAGGCCAGGACCCTAAAACAGTGGACTCTCAGGCAACAGGCTGGTCCTCAATCTAGGAACAGGCTACACCGTCCCAGTTCTCCCTGGTGGCTGGCTCCCGTGCCTTTGATAATGGTTGCATAGGTTGACATACAAGGATCCGTGGGTCCCTAGGGGCAGAGAAAGGCATTCCCTTCAGGAACTGCTCCCAGCCAGGAGGTGATGTGCTACACAGCCTTAAGCATCCACAGCATCTTTGTCCTGCGGCTCCGGCTCTGAGAGGGAGGCAGGGCAGCCTGGGTCCCCCTTGGTGGGCTGTGGGGAGAGAAAGCAGTTCCCCTCTGCTACCTCCTCACCCCCTAGGCCCCTGATCCTAAAGCGGCACTGTCAGCAACACATTCGCCCTCCATCCCACCAGGATGCACCTGCCCCAGGTGCTGCACCTCCACAGAGGCTCCCCCAGCCCCCGTCTCCGTCCCTCTCATGATTCCGTGTCTCAGAGCCCAGTATTCCGTGTCTCAGAGCCCAGTCACTACTCACTCCTCCACCACTCCCAGGCTGGCTCCACTTTCTAAGGAGGAAGACTAGGGCCCGAAACCTTGCTCTGCCCTTGGCAAATGCTTTGACCCCTCTGACCAGAACTGGCTACAGACCCAGCCTGCCTCTCCCATAGTGCTGCTGCCCTGGGGTCGATTACTGGTTCCCATAAACCCACTCAACTTCTCTCCTGCCCTGATTCCTCCAGGCACGAGGACGGACATGTCACCGCACATGTGACTCCTGGGCTGAGGCCTCTGTTCACAAGGGGTTGCCATAGCAATGCCAGGTACTTGTGACCTGAGGAGAGAAGATGGCCCGGTCACTGGTGTCTAGTGGCTACTAAGGGCCTCCCCAGCTGCTGGGGGCGGCTGAGGAGTGGTGACAGGCATAGGGGAGACCTGGAGATGGCTTTGCTGTACCTCCTGGCCTCCCACCACAGCTGGAGACCCAAGGTCATTGACTCAGGGGTCCTGAGTGCCTGTGGCCACTCTGCCACTATTCAGCGGTGTGCCCTGGGGAAGTCACTTTGCCTCCCCAAATATAAACAGGTGTGTGTGTCTTCCTGAATCAGCCCACACCCCCGGGGCCTGGCATGGTGGTGCTGGGCAGAAGGAGTGCCCAGGAAACATTTGCTGAACTGCAGACCTCTGAAGGCAGGAAGGGGGCTCAAATTGGATGGGATAGTCTATAAGGCTGTGCTTGACCGAAGGCCCCGGGGTCCAGGCCCATGCCATTGTCTTTGCAGTTGTAGCTAATAAGTCAGTCAGAGAAGGAACCCAATGTTACATACTCATTCATTCACTCAGCTCATGGAAACTCCGCCTCTCAGCCCAGGGCCTGCTGTCTGCTGGGTGCTATGCTAGGCACCCCAAACCCAAACCAGACTCACGGCCATCGAGTCAATGCCGACTCACAGTGACCCCCAAGGACAGGGCTCCATTATTAGAATGGCTTCTGTGAGTTTCTGAGAATGTCACTCTTTGCCGGAGTCAGAAGGCCCGCCCTGTCTTTCTCCCGAAGAGCAGCTCGTGGTTTTGAACTGCTGACCTTGCTGGAACAGAGAGACTTCACTGAGGGATGGATCCAGCCCTCCCAATGCTCCCTGCTGAGGGGGGGGAGGGATGCAGCAGGCATGAGTAGGACCAACAGCCCTTGGCGGACAGAGGCCAGTCTTTAGGAGACCAGTGTTGAGGTCAGGGCGGATGTGGTTCAAGTCCCGACTGGTCGGCCACAACTCTCGGTGCCCCATGTGTGATGGCATGAGCCCGAGCCTCATACTCAATTGCAGGTGGGACCTTTGTGAACCCCAGGGTTTTCCTTGGGCGCCAGACCTTTCCCTCTAGTCTACCTGTGTCTGGAAGCGCTGCTGAAACCTGCTCGTTCAGCATCACAACGACTCACAGGTCTCCACGAAGGGATGGGTGGTGGCTGCGCAGGAGGTGCATGAACCAGGAATTGAACTTAGGTCTCACGCATGGAAGGCAGGAATCCCACTGCTGCACTCTGACTATGCCGAGAGACCCAGACAAAGGTTTCAATCCTCTGTGCCTCGGCTTTCTCAGCGTTCCCACTCAAGTTGCTGCCATTGAGCCCAATCCAACTCTGAGTGACCCCATAGGATGGGGGCAAAGGAGGGGGGGGGTGCTGCCCCTATGTGGTTCCGAAACCATAAGTCCTTTTTCTTTAAAGGCATAGAATGCACATCTCAGGCAAGTCAGGAGTTCAATCCTAGTCAAAAGAGTTGCACAGTCAACGCCCCAGGCAATGTTAGCAGTGTTCTTCTTTCTTATACTCGTTGTTAGCTCCCCGTTTCTCTCCAGCCTCCTCTGCCATGTCTCTGCGCCCCTCCTGCCCGACTATAACTCTTTATGGGAGTAGAAAGCCTCGTCTTTCTTCCAAGGGGCGGCTGGTGGTTTGGAGCTGCTGACCTTGAAGTTAGCAGCCCCACACGTAGCCCATGAGGACACCAGGGCTCTACGTGGTAAATAATAGCAGGAACGATTTCATCGTGTGGATGGGAAGAGCTCATGAAGCTCCTCCGTGGAAGAAACCCTGATGGCATAGTGGGTTGTACCCTAGGCTGCTGACCCCAAGGCCAGTGGTTCGAAAACACCAGCCAGTCCAAGGGAGGAGAAAAAAGGGGGGGGGGGGCTTTCTGCTTCTGAAACCCACAGGGGAAGTCTCTGCCCTGTCCCGTGGCCTTGCTGTGAGTCAGTGTCGTGTGATGGAAGATGCTTGGTACGTGGCAAGCGCAGGATGGATGCTTCTTGATCCCCGTGATCACTGGGCCACAGCAGAGGCCCAGGCAGAGTGCTGAGGGAGCTGAGGGCAGAAACTGGACACGATGTGTCAGCACTCCAAGAAGACCAGCACTGTCCCACTTCCAACTGAAGCCTCCTCAGCCACCTGGGCGGCTTCCATGGCCGGGCCTCGGCTCATCCCCCCACCACAACCCCCTCGTTGAAGGGCAGTGAAGCTGGAGTGGCTGCATGCTCAGCAGGATAGGAGCTGACCTTGAGCAGGGAGCCACAGGTGGGGTCTGTCCAGCCTCCCAGCCCCCACCCAAGGCTGGCCTCGGTGAGGCTGCCCCACGGCACTGGGGCTGTCCTGGCAAGCAGGCAGCCGGGCAATCTCAGCGCAGAGCGAAGTTCTTTTAAGGGAAGGCATGCTGGGTTCCGGAGAGATGGATGGCAACCCATGTGGGAGGAGTTGTTGCACAGGGATGCTGGGGTGGGGGTGGGGTGGGGACTGGCTGCAGGCCACTCACCCCTGGCTGCTGGCAGCTGGCCTCCTGGCAGCTGGGGAGAACAGGGAGCCTGGGAGGGTGAATCCAGGCCTGGCGATCCAGTGAGGGAAGGTCATGGGTTATCAACCTATGGGAGCACTCTGGACCCCTTTGAACTCAAGGTGCAGGTGCCAAAAGATTCAAAATCAAACTCATTGCCATCGAGTCAATGCAGACTCATGCGACATGGTAGAACGACCTCCTGTGGATTTCCGAGTCTGTAACTCTTTACCAGGATAGAAAGCCTGGTCTTTTTCCCGAGGAGTGGCTGGTGGTTTCGAACTGCTGACCACTAGGACACCAGAGGTGACACCGAGCAGGGTTGCCATGTGTAAGCCATGTATGAGACTCTCTGGCCATCCCAGAGAGCCACAGTGCTGCCACAGCCCTCAAGTGACAGGATCTGCCATGTGCCTGGGACTTACATCTTTCTGCCCTGACAACCTGGTTCCCCAAACTCTTCCTGGTGTGTCAAGCCAGACAGCAGCCCAGCAGGGATTTGGGGTGACTGAGCTCATCTGGGTGCACCCGCATAGTCACCCCCAGAGTCTCTCTGGATGGTCTCCGTTCAGATCTAGACTGAGAATCCCCCGGCTGCAGCCCCCCCATCATGACTAGTCCCAGTTACTCCTTCCTCCCCAGCAAGGGGCCAGGATGAAAGCAGTGGGCAGGGTTAGGAGGGTCTGAGGTGGGTACCCTGAGGGGCTAGAGGGTAGAAGAGTGCTCTCAGAGTCAGTGTCTCTTCCCTTCTCTTCTCCTTCCATCTCCTGCTACCCAGCATGTCTCTCCCCTCCTCATTCTCCTCCGTTGAATAGCACCGTGATGGATGGTAAAAGGTACTTAGCTGAATCACAGTGTTTAAAGATGGAAAAGACCAATGAGGTCATCAAGTGCATCTCTTTCGCGCTCTCTCTCTTCCTCTCTCTGAGGAGAGGCAGAAAAGAGGAGACAACAATAAACAATTTTATTGGGATATTAATTTAGGTGCCTGGAGGCTTTGACTTGTGTCTCTTAATATAATGCAATGGATTTTTCTCCCCGCTCCCTTCCCCACTAATGTCATTGTGGGGGCCACTCTGTGGGCAGGGGCTTTGCATAATGCCTCTTGCTTCCCTCCTTTTCCCGAGGAAGGTCCAGCTGGAGTTTCGGAAGAGCTGGGAGCGCTGGCGCCTGGAGCACTTGCACATCCAGAGGGATAGCAGCATGAAGCCCCTCAAGTGTCCCACCCACAGCCTGAGCAGCGGGGCCACCGTGGGCAGCAGTGTGTACGCGGCCACCTGCCAGGCTTCCTGCAGCTGAGACTCCTGCGTCCACCCGCACAGGCCGCGCTCCATGTGGGCTGGGCGGTCCCTCCAAGTGGAAGAGACCCTCTGGGGAAGAGGGGAAGGGACGGAGGAAAGGCGCCACACACACGCACACACGCACATCCGCTTTCCCTTCCTAAAGCCATCAGACAGGCAAAGGGGCGGTGCCTCCAGGAACCAGGGGACACATTTTCTCAGAGGAAAAGCAGCTTGCTAATTTGATCACTGTCGCGCTGGAGGAAAGGAGAAAACAATTGTGGCGAAAATGAGGAGGATTTCTTCCCGTTAAGCCACAAGGCCCCTGGGGTTCCCCCAGACGGTGCAGCCAATCAAGCCCGGGCTCGAACCCCAGGTCAATGGCCTATTAGTGGGGGTGAGCTTGCAAGAGGCCTGCAGCACCACAGGCACACATCGGGCTTGGGGAACAAGAGCCAACTCTGCTGGCCTTCGCTTGGGGTCCCCACCCTCCTCTGCTTGCTGACCGAGGGCACCTTTCATGCGGCCCGGCTGCTTATTCCCCTTGTCGTGCCCATGTCTCTCACTACTCAGCTTCCCCTAGGGGTCCTCGTTGGGGTCACTCGCCGCAGCCATTTCTGCATGGGGCTGCCGGCGGTGTTGAGAAGGAGTCTTGAGCAGGTGCCGGAAGGTTTTCTTTGCCGGTGCCCAGCCTGCTTCTGCCCTGGGGATGTGAATTCCCTTGGTGCCTGCTTCCACTGTGCCCCAGAACCCAGGGAACCAGACCAGGCCTGCTGCCCGCGGAGCCTGGGTCTTCGCTCTCAGTTCCGTTCTAAAGACGCCAAGAATCCTCTGGGGTTCCCCAGAGATGCTTCCGCCATTCGCACACCTGGGGGGTTGACTGCCGGCCCCTGCTGGGAACCCAGAGAGCCAAGAGATCCTTCACCCCCACGCTCCACGGGAATGCTTTCTACTTGTGACCAGATCCTGGGCTTTGCAGGGGGGGTTAGATGCACCCTCGAACGCAAGGGGCTGTGGCCAAGAAGAGACTCTTTGGGGGAAACCCCCAGTGCCCATAGCTACCGTGAAGGCAGGTTCCATCTGCCCTAGCCTTCCTCCCTTTGAATACACACACACACTACTTGGACGCTTGTATGTACTTGATTCATTTGTCTTGATTGCTGTGAACCGTCTACATGTGCAAAGGTGCCGTTCCAATTTTGCCTACCTGATGGAAACAAGACCTAAATCATCATGGCTGTTGTGGTGCTGATTCGGGATGGGGGAGTGATTGATTTGGCTCGTCCACTGTGGGAGGTAATTAATGTTGGCCCTGAATCCAATCGCATCCCATAAATAAGGAGCCACAGAAAGGCAAGACTGCAAAGCCCATCAATCCCACTTCCCACCCCCAGCCCCTGCAGCGAGATGCAGCCACATAGCAGCACTGTGGAGACCCACATGAGAAGGGGACAGCCATCCTGGGGGGGCCAGCAGCTGAACCCCGGGAGGTGAAGGAAGTTTCCAGAGCAGGAGAGAACTCTTGGGAGTCCAGACCTCCTGGGAGGGAGAGGAAGCAGCTTCGGATGAGTTCCTTTATGAGTCTGCCTCTCCCGCCTTTTGTAATGGGGGGAAGCTCCCGGCAAACCTCGCACCAGGCACATTGTCCCATGCCCCTCGCGAGGCCTGTGACGTGCAGAGAAGATAATAATGGGACATAAAACATACCAAGCAGAAAATTTCTTAGACTCCGGCTTCAGTGAAGTGGTGTGTCTATGTTAATAGGGACGTTGGACCTCAGGCTAGAGAAAGGAATGGACAGAGATAATACAGAGAATTGGTGGGGCAGGCATTTCTGCTTCCCCAGAACAAGGTCCGGCTTCCCAGTAAGCAACATTTGATTAACCACCTTGGAGGTGGGAGAGCGCGACAGTGAACAGGGTTGGCTTGGTGTGGGGTAGAGCCATTGTGCAAGGGTTTCCTCTTGGGGCAAACTGGAAGGTTTGGGCAAGCAGGATATACTCAACAGTGACAAAGAAAGGGAACGATTGATAGAACCCGAGTGAAATCAATCAGCAAGAGGAGGCGCTGGGGGTGGGGGTGAGGGTGGGGGAGTGCTTCGTAAGACTCCAGGGAAGCTGGACAATGTGGTTTAAGCTGCAGAGTTCTCTTCCCACCTGGGCCTGGTGATACCCGATTTCAGAAGCCTCACTGCTCACTGTCTCTTCCTAAGCGTTTGAAAACTCCGCAAGTTGCTCCTTCACCAAGGCACAGTGTTTCTGTGCCCCAAGACTCAGGACTATTAATATCCATTTGAATGACATTGTACTCACGCAGAGCTATTCCCAGACTCTCCTAAATATAGTTCTGACAGGTCTGGGAACTACTGCGGGCAGTGTACTCTGAAATTCCACTCGCTGTTTACACGCTTGATGCCCCAATCTGCAGCCTCTGTTCTGCGGCCGCTACTGCTGATCTCGGGGAGGGGGCGCTGCGCGAGTTTGAGCTGGACAGCCAGCAAGCTCTGGTGAATAGCGGCTGAGTTTCAGCACTCTGGACAGCTCCCCAAACGTTCTGGGGCTTAAATCCTGTTCTGTCTTTGGAGCGGTGAGAGCATGCATGACACTGTAAAGTGGCCTCCCCCAGAAAACGACTCTCTAGATGGCAGGCAGTGTTTGCGGTTGTCTCGATGCACCTCGTGTGGAGGAACACGTGTCAACTGATTTCACTGAGACTCAGAGCAGGGAAGGCTAGGGAAGGGAGACCCACAGAGGACTTGCCTCAGGTAACCCTGAAAGCCAGGGGCTGACCTGGCCTAAGTCCCTGGGCCTACTTCTGGATCCTAGTCCAATGAGGCCGCTGGGAAGGCGTGGTGGAAAAGTCCAAATAGTCATTCAGCATATTTCAAGCGACACTCACTGTGCTTCCTGGGACTTTCCTTAAAGGGGGAAACACAATAAAGGCAGAGGTGTGACTTCAGCAGCCTCAGTGGCTTACACTGGTAAGGGGAGGGAAAGGGCGTTCTTTGCTATTTCTATGTGGGACCACGTTCGTCCTGGTCTTAAAATTTAAAAAGGAAGCGGCGCACCAGCCCTTTCGGAGAGCAAGTCCGATTTTCCCCATGACACATCTGTGTTTGTCTCAGAACTTGTGCTTTTATCCATCCAACATGAGCTCAAAGAACCTAGTGGAAGACCCTAGACCAGCTCCTTGCCCTCTCATCCTTTCTGAAGTTGGCAAAGACTATCAATCAACTGCCAGCTATCAAAAGAGACAAAAGGGTGGACTTTGGGTGGGGGTGGGGGGAACAAGTGGATTCTGACTCATAGCGACCCTATAGGGCAGGTAGAACTGCCCCACCACCACCACTACCACCACTGTGGGTTTCTGAGACTGTAACCATTTACAGGAATAGAAATCCTCATCTTTCTCTTGCAGTGCAACAGGTGGTTTTGACTGCTGACGACCTTGTGGTTAACAGCCCACCAACGTGTAACCAACTATGCCACCAGCGCTCCTGGAAGGGTCGACAGGGAGAGTCACTTCAATCCATACCCTAAAATGCACAGTGGCCAATGTGACCAGCATACTCCAAGGCAGGAGCCCTCCTTTTCCCATCCACCCACACATTCCCCTCCTGCTGTCTTCCACAAGGAAATGTTGGGATTTATTTTTTGGCCTTGTGCATAGCAATATAAAGTTAGGAGATGATGAATCTGGGCTCCTCACACCCACTGCGAAGGTCACGGTACCACGCGGCCCAGAGCCAGGATGGCTGGGGGCCTAGGTGGTAGATGCTTCCTCTCCATGCGCAGACAGGACTCCCATTATTACTAATGCCTGCGACGTGCTTGGGGAAGGCAAAATATATTCCAAAGGTTTATTTCCCCTCTGCTGAATTGATTCTAATCTACTGTGCTGACCCTGCCTTGGGCTTCTGTGAGGCAGACTCTATTTTTTGTTAAAAAATCTTCAAATAAAATATATCAGCTAAAAATAAATAAAATATATCAGCTTACTCTACGAAGACAGCTCTGTAGATAGCATACTAAATATTCAACAGAAATCAAATTGGTATCACCCTTATCTAACTCTTTACCTTCTTGTAGCTGGAGTACGTTCTCTTGGGAAAGGAAAATGCCCTGTGTGGGAACCCTTTGCACACCACACTGCTGCGCCTCTACAGAGTGGCAGCTCTTGGGCTCTTCCTGGACGGTGACAGCAGGAAGTGTTGTTCAGCTGCGTTACACTTTGCTTAATGCCACAGCATGTCCATGGTGGCCATCACTACTTCCGCTCGGCCAGGGAATACAGATCAGCAGGAACTGGGATACACGTCACTGTTCTCCAGTGAACTCCCTGAGATGTGTTGGGCTTCGCCTATGTCTGAGTCTTTCAGAGGGGAACTTGTCTCTCCCCACCCCACACCGTGGACCATTTTAGCCACTGCTTTGCAAAACCTCACCCAGCCGTGGCTGCACTTCCCCTCTGACGCACCCCACTACCAGCCCTATTTTGTGAGAGCCCTCACATTGCTCCCACTGTTGCCTCAAGAAGGGGTGACTCGGCTAGATACGCTGTGAATGCCATCCTCTCAACCGTGATCAATTTAGGAGTGCAGCTGAGAGGGAGGCGCTGGCAGGGTTGAAAGGAGGCCCCTCGTGCCACCTTCTGGTGCAGAAAGGAGTGTTGGAGCCAGCGGCTCCGATCCTAACTTACAGCAAGGTCATGCCACCTTCCCTGTGGAGCGTGTCAAGCAATCAGTGATTAGTCAGCCCCCAACAGTCTGGCATCACTAATTAACACGGCAGTGTAAAAAGCAAACCGGAGGAAGCAAAGTATTCATTCGTAAGTGAAAATATTTGAATGGAGCTAGAAAGAAGCTTCCTCCACAGAGTTGGGACAGGCATGTTTCCTTGGGTCTTGTGTCTTTGTGCCTGGGGGGCTGTCCAAACGGGACCATGTTCACCTAAGGCAGACATGGCTGGATCTTGCTCACATTTCCTCTCAGCTCCTCCCTCTAGGTAAAAAAACGATCCTATTCTCAGAGCAGATAAGCCCTCTCCCCACTTTGGCTGTAGGGAGGTAGGAAGCAAATCTTGAAATGCACCAAAGGAGAGGGGGCTC